TGAAAGTGCAATTTCTGTAGGCTTTAAAAAATACAACATGGTTTTTGAAAAATATATACGGACATAAATATAGTAATATTTAATGTTTTGGAAAAGCATATAACCAAAATTATTATTTTCAGTTAAATATCGTCTGACGTTGCACATTTATTTAAACTGTAAATGTTGTCACTTCCAAAACAGATGAACACTAATTACTTCGTACTGAAGTAGTTGCGGGGGAAACAGAGAAATGTATTACTAGGTAAGAATCAAGAATTTCAATTAGATATAAAAAAGAGAAACGATTCATCTAAGTATTGGGAATAACCTGATATAGAAAATAAAATTGGTATATAAGAATAAAAGGTGTGTTTTAAAAGCGAAGCTTGACAGCACTATTATTTATGGCCCAATTAAAAAATGATACATGGAATGAAATGGCGTAAAAATCGGTACTATCTACCGCAGAGAATAAATCTTTTGACGTAATTGTTGTCTTCATGATATTTTTTTAACGTGTTATCCTAATTTTCATCTATTATAACTAAATGAGTTTTCTCCTTTCTTTGACATAAAAAATAGTATTAATTATTTCAATTTATCAATAGACCTACTCAGCTGAAAACAAACTGGTTCTTCCTTGATAATCATAATAACGCGATTAAAACAATAAAAATGTTCGTTCAAAAACTTTGTTCACATTGTAGTCCGTTGGGCATCACTAGACTTCAGTAATTAACTTAATTTTAAGTCGAAATGTGTAGCCATGATTTATTTTGAAATTTATTTTTAAGCTAATCTAAATGCTCCAGAAAATCGTTGTGCCCTTGTCACACGTGTAGGTACACAAACAAATAAAAGCGGATTAAAATTACTCAAAACAGTCTTTGATGTATGCTCAGAGGTTCAGTAATTGTATTTTTACTACCAATTACGGAGATTAAAGTAAAGTAAAAAGCCAAAATAAGAAGTGTAATAGCGTACGTTAAATTAAAAAATGAGCCATTTAGTAAAACATGAGCATATTTACTTCTTAAATTAAACGCCATGTTAACACATTGATTACAATTTGTCGCAATTGTGGATAAAAGAGCGGGTAGATTAAACTGCTCACTAAACATTTTTTTATGACTTCAGTCGTAAATCTGACGGCAAGTGCCTAAAATTTTATGCTTTTATGATCGAAAGGAGGTGTCAGCATTAAAAATAAACTTGATTTCGTGCATGTGATACGTGAAATTAAGAAATTAAAATATAGGTTGTTTTGACGTTGAAGGTTGCAGAACGCAAGATTTAGGAAATTTTATTAAGTAGATAATTTTGTTAAATTGTTATACATCGTTATTGTACATTCTTTAGTTTTATTTTCACAAAAAATAGCCGTAGGCGTATCGTGTCAATTAGGTGGGCTGTTATTAATGTTATTGTTTGTTGTTGCTACCATTTTAAAAATTTTCCCCCATTTGTTGGGTCTAATTTTGGGTAATTTAATACCGTAAAAACGGTAATTCACAATAGTTATTACGTCAATTATCTAACGATACTCGAGGGCTTTATTGGGAATACCTGGAACATCTTTCAGCTTATGGAGCGTATTTTGAGGTCAAAGCGATGACGACAATCGATTGTAGAAATTGCCACTATGCTGATCAAGCACTATTCTGTGTACCGCATAAACATGTTTATTATAAAGTCGTGCAAACAATAATTGTCTTGCATCTTTGTCGTTTATACAAATTTCAAAAATTTAGGTTTCTTAATTCATCTTCTTGTTTTCTCATTCAAAGATGAAATGGTTCGTACGAATCTAATTTAAAGATTTATTACTTGAAAATTAGGTATCTAATTACTAAGGCTTTTGCAGAAATTGTTCTACAATTTTATCATTTACATAATTAATAAAAAGTGGTATTATAAATAAAGTAGCATTTAACAGGAGAAAAATAAGGACAGTAAGAATTTGACGTAGGTACGTAGATTCAGTTTGGTGGATATTACAAAGTTTTTAGATAACATCATACAGTAGTGGTATGTTGGGATATTCTGCTTCGAATTGTGAATTGATTTATATCCAAATAGAAGTTTTAGCATTAATTTAAGCAAGCGTCATATTTTCGTTCTTAATGTAATACCAAATGTACAAACGGATTTGTGCAGAGGATTCACTTTTAAAACCGCTTTTAGTTTTTTCTATTTTCATCCGGATTTTAAAGACGTCAGAATAAATTGCTTAAATTCCATTACCATTTATCATTAATAAATAATATGGTAGTGGAATATCTAAACTTTTTCTTTTTTTACCTATGGTGAATTTAAAAAAATAGAACATCCTAGATAACCCTTAGATAAGCGTAATTTTTCATTTCGTCAAAATATCGTAAGCAAATTTTAAACCAATACACGTTTTCATACATCACACATTTTTTTTACATTGCAAAGTGAATAAAAAAGAAAAGTTATTTCTACAAATTCATTAAAAACATATTTGTAGCTAGTTTAAATAGATATAACATCCCAGTGAGCATACAAATCAAATCTAATCAACCAGGTATAAAATTTAAAGTTTGCGGTGACTAAAGATATTGTAAACTCAGTAATTAAATAATAAATTTGTCATGGAAAATCCAGAAACTTGGCCAAATCATGAGTGCAACTGGAAAAACAATGTTTTATTTACTTATTACACTCTAACGTACAGTAGCCTTGTCATCTTTCCCACAACGCTGTTGCTTTTTTTATTTGGTTTACCTACGTATTTTATAAATTTAATAATGTAATAATAAATTATGATGTGGACGTCGCTACGGTTTTACTTTTTCCCATACGCGCGAATCCTAAAAAAATATATTCAGAATATGTACTTTACGAGGATGATTTCATTTATGAAAAACTACTTTTATGGGGTATTGGAAATGCCCATGAGTGAAAGTTTTTTACAAAATCATGTTTTTCAATTTTTCTTTACCAAGGAATAAACGTGTACACATTCTTGATGAATTTAAAATTAAAATTTTACAAACGTGACAAATTAGATCAAAGTATCTAATAAACGAAAAATAAATATGTTATAGTTTACTTATTTCTAAAGGCGTGTATTGATTTTATAACTCGCAGATATTTTCTTTCATTGCTTTCTCTGAATTATGATTTATGAAGTGCAGCAGACCCGGAAAAACTCACTGTTCATTATCAGGCGATGATTCTAATTTCAAATTATGTTCATTAATTTCTTTGTAAAAACATTTCGATTACAAAAAATTTATGTATCTCTTGCGCCAAAACTATATGATCTGTTGTTAATCTTATAGATCTTTAAATTCAGAAGTAGTTTCCCTCTCTTTCTCCTTCCATTTAACTTTTCTACTTGTAAGATAGAAGCACTGAAATTTTTAACAGCAATATATTTTAAATATGAACTATTACAATGTTATTAAAATGTGAGCAGAAACTTTTAATGTTTTTTTTTTGTAAGAAAAAATCTAATTGTCTAATTCCATTTCTGGAAAATTAGATTAAGCCGTCGCAAACTAGTAAAAGTATGATTATATTAAATTTTGTAGATATGGCAAAATTGCTTTAGAAGTGTCCATCCCAGTTCAGTTGGGCTTTTGTGTGTGAGGTTTTCTTACCACCTCTTTGAGGTATACGTTAAGAGGAAAGTTGATCTTCTTTATGCTCTTTATGGAAACCATACTTTCAGCATTTTTCAAACATTGCAGTATGTTTTTTTAATGTTTTTATAACCACAAAATATTAAATTTAGTGATTGTGAGAAAAAAAAAAGGTTTATACATAATTACCGTACTTCGTTTTACAACATAATTAAGTTAAAAGCAAAAAACCATACAATTTTAAGTAGGTTGTTTTAAATAAAAAATGAAACTACTTCGACGAGGACATATGTTTTGTTACGGAAATTGCAAATCTTAACTATTTATATATTTTTTAATTTTTCCTCACTGTCAATTTTCAGACGATAATTGAGTAACACTTGTTTTTTTAGATGCTAAAAACGAATTTACCTTCAACTACCAGGTAAACCGTTTTTTCCTTTGTTTTTAATGACCTTGCAAACATATTATGAAAACAAATTTTTGAGAAAAATAGATATATTTTCTAGTACGGGCGATTTCAAGGATTTTGAAAGGTTCAAACGAAAATATTTTTAATAAAGTGAATTAAGTAGTTTAACATTAATTTTTGCATTTTAAAAATTTGATACAACTCTCTATTAAATAATTATACATTTAAATCTGTTGACTTAAAAAAAAACTAAATTGTTAATAATAAATTAAAAAAAAAGAGGTAATTATTTTCTTTCTGGCAATAATTTTAACCTAATTAAGCATCATCAGTACGACACAATTTTTTGATGTTCTAAGTTTTGAGCAAATTAAACTGGAAAATGCTAGTTTAAAAGTTATTTAAAAACTTTATATTTGACAGAATTTAAAAAATAAGTATGCTCCACTTCGAAATATGCTAAGATCAGATAGTTCCGGATGAATTTCGAGCTTCATATCCCAGACTAGGAGTGGGCTTAACGTGGTAACAATAGCCATTATGTGATCAAATAATATTCTTTACACCGCATAAAATTTCTTAGCATGAAATCGTCCTGCCGCAACGGTTAGTTTTATCCATTTAATAATCAAGTGGCGATGAATCGCACGATATGTGCAAAGTGTAAGTGGCGTTTCTGGTTCGTTTAGTAGTCACAAACACGTGTCTTATTTAGTATACATTACTGTCGGATAGATCGGCAGCAATTACACGCCAATATTCACTTAAATATTACTGTTTCACTGGGGAATTATTACAAAACTGCAGGAGTGTCGTGTACTAATATGTAACGAAGGCGGCGGTCGTGCGAATGTAACACCGAACAAGTAGGAGGGAAAATAACCTTTCACTCTTTGCGGCAAAGACGGCACTCGATGGGCTCCCGATCCGTAACACTCCTGCAGCCGATGGGTCGGCGGCAGGATCCCAGTGAGTAATCAGCCGATCTGTTGCAGGAACCTGCAAATTCCCGGATATCGCTAGGATTCACGTCTGTTCGGATTAACTCATCGCGCTCAGCTGAGTAATAGCAGGAACAGATAAGAATCAGACACGATGTTTGCGATAATACAGATTGACAACGACGTTAGTGGGCGCGAGTTCCGTAGAAAAATGCGCCCAAAGTACGAATTCATCTGCAAGTACTGCCAGAGGAAGTTCACCAAGTCTTACAACCTCATGATCCATGAACGAACCCACAAGAGCCCAGAGCTCACCTTCAGCTGCGAGGTCTGCGGAAGGGGCTTCAAGCGCCAGGACAACCTCAAACAGCACAGGTAAATTTTGCACTTATTTTGTGTATCTTCGGTAAATGATGGCTCTCTAAATTCGGTCGCATTCCGACAATTTGCCAGACGAGGTCGGGGAACGCGATCGATACAAATTAACAGTGTCGTCCTTTCCGAGACTTTGTCTGGATTCGCGCGCGAATTAATTGAAAGTCCCGGCTTTTGTCAACGCGTCTGAAGATTCGTTCGGGACATTAAAACTGTTGCATCGCCAAATAAATCCTGCGGCGGAGAGACCGACGCTAATCGGGTTTATTGCCTCCCATAAATTAAGAGCCACAAGAATACGGCGTCCATTTGTACATATTTTGTCTAATTTTTTTTTAAATATATTATTTTGTTAACCTAATGTGTTGGTATTTTAGATGTAATCAATGCATATGGCGGTAAAGGGCTCCTGACCGATGGGTAATTCCGGCCCTGTCTTCTTTTATTGCAATGTAAGACTTTTAACACACACTATTTTTTATACTAAAACAACTCTGATTCACTTTTGGGGCCTTTACTAACGCTTTTTTCAAACAATAAAATTTGGTGATGCGCCCATTTTAAATATTCACAACCTCCTCTTCCATGTTTTAATCGTTTTTATTTTGCAGGACAATACATTACTCCACCGCTACAGCCTACAGTTGTTACTCAAGATGCTAACCATCAACCAAAATCAAAACATTCCTATTTCTACAGTATTCACAAAAAATATTTATTACACACTAGAATGTTATTGCATGTTGTACATATCTCAAATTTATTTTTAGTTTTCCCTCGAACCTATATCGTAAGTTCTATTTATAAAACCCTCTCAATTAAAATTAGCGCCAGACTACAGAACGTCTAGTCTAAAAAAATGTACTTTTTATGATTAACAATTAAATTGTCATTGTTAATAAGTGCAATTCACTTTAATTATAATGTAGTAGGATCTTATACCCCCAGACTTGTACAGTCTCGCTTTTTGTTTTCCTAATTCTTAGTTTAAGTAATAACGTACTAAATCATGTAAATGTCGTAGTTGTCTGAGTACTTTTTGCCCCAGCAAAAACTACATCAGTGCTTGTGTAGCAATTAAGAGTGCGCAATCCCTAAGTAAGTTAGCATTATATTTATTAACTTATAGAGCTTTATGTGAATTAAAAATGAACCGACGCAGCCTGTTGTTTTCTTTCTTTCTTTGGTGAAGATCCCAAATCGTCCATACGGAAATACGTGGGTTAAATTGTGCTCCTGGGGCAATCAGAGGTTGGCAAACAGTGATGTTGCACGCAAGGAGGCAGCACGGTAGCCGCCAGAGTCAGCTTTCACCGTTATTACATGTTTTTGTTGTACGATCGTGCATAACAAGGGTTTTCTCGATCACACGGTGCAATTTAACTAGTTAAGTCGATGGGAATATCGTTATTATCAGCGATTAGTGTTTTGCTATATGTTATTAGACGGAGTCTCCGGACTCTGGGGGACCACGGAAAAATTCCGGGTTCGGAAGGTCGGGAATAGTGATGTCTTGGCTTTGTGAGTCACGTGTTTGACGTCAACGTAAAAATCGGCGCGGCGCATCCACCAAATTTCAGGTCTAAGTCGGTTGGGAAAACCGAAAGATTTGCGTTTTCTTGGATTCTGGGTTCGATTGGCGTGTGTTTATTGCATGTATTTATTGATGATCATAATCGTGAGTATAAGTTTTACTTTTGACTCATCGAATTGAATATCCGGTTTGGTCCCAAAGACTATGCAATGACATCATATGCTGTGTCTTGGTACTAATTTTAACTCGGTTATCGTATACCTACTGCAGTGATTTATGCAAAACATAAAACAGTCGCAGATTTTAATAGAAATTAAGACATGACCTAAAGATATATGTGTCAACAAAAGTCTACGTACAGTGGAAAAGTTCTCAAGGTTTTGCGACGTACTGGTATTTTTCCACACGGAAAAATCATTTGTTTTTTTATACAATTCGGTTTAAACGTACGATGACACTTACTGGATTTTTTTTTTAGTAAAAGTTTTAGTTAAATGAAAACAAAATAGTGTCCATCGTTGGATTAGTTAGTAGTGAATAAGTTATTTGGAAAGACAATAAAATGACATAACTAACAAATGTAACACTGGAATAAGCTGTATAAATACATTCCACATAGCTGATAATAAGAGTAAATATTTTACTAATAAAATACTTGTTAGTGTGCTTGCAAGTCATTTGGATTAAATTTAGTTATCAAATGAATATATAGATATTAGAATTTTTTAACTATGCGGAAAATTCAGTTTCAAGTGATAATTTGGTAGTAAGTTAAGGTAGGTACCATAAAATATTTTATGAATTTTTTTTATTATAAGAGATACACTGAAACATTTTATATAAGAAAAGATTTAACGCAACGATTAATTTATTAATTATTTATTATTTATTAATTTAATTAATTAATTAAAGTTATGTTATGAATATTTACAAAGTAATAATTTTATAATGGCCGTTACAGATATTATTTAACTCTCAAAGCTCCTTTATTTAGAGTTGTTATGTATTTATATGTTCAAGATCTGTTTTAAAAACACGAAAAACACATCTGAGGTCCGGGACTCTCCAATTTCTGCGTCCGAAAAAAAAGTTAAAAAAACATGCCGGAAAAAACACTTTTATTATTTCCCTTGTCTCTACAACATTACAATTTTTTAACATTTACTCTTACAAACTGACGAAAAAGTTTCTGTGTTCATTTCCATTAACTATTTCATTGGTCGACTCAAAATTTTACTAAGTAAAACTCACTTGAAACGTGCACACCATGCTTCTCTACTTGCAGTTTTTCATACACCTCTATTTTTTAACTAATGAGGGCTATCATAAAAAAAAAACAAATTAATCAAAATTAAATTTTATAGTTTCTGCAAGACTCTGGATTATTTTAAGTGTGCTTCAGGGACAAGGGAAGTTCTGTCTATATAATTTTAGACCACTTTTTAAAAAATGATGTTTGTAACACTTATGAGCTCCTTGTGCAGTTTGACAGTTAGCTGCAGCATTGTTGTTTTAAAAATAAATTTCAAAACCTACTAAAGGACTTTTTCTTCGATCATATGGTACAATTTTCGCGTCATTTCTGTCAAAGTCTTCATTCTTTTGAATTACTTGAATTAATATTAGCAAAACGCTACAATTTAGTAGCTTAATATGTACCTATATATAAAGATCTAATGTTCTTTTTCTATGTAAATTTAAAAATGAAAATATAAATACTCAGAACTTTTTCTTTACTTTATTGTTTTTTCCGTATGTCGCAGTTTTTGTTATCGTGTTCGAGACAGTTGACATTTCGATGTCAAACTCAGTTTAAAGGTTATTAAGTCATAACAGTCGATGTAATAAGCAGGTGGCAGCTTTCAAATTAATTTCGGTCACGACATATGAAAAAAAAAACTGCTAACATAACAACACTTTTGACCAAGTTTTTATTTAGACACCCGATATATTTCTGTTCTTTCTGCTCTCCTGGGGGCACTAGTCTATACAAAATAATGTACCTTCGTGTATACATTTTTTTTTAATTGCACACGACAAATAAAATATGTAAATTATATCGTCAATAATATTATTATTATAAGTAGTTAGTTTTTTGGAATGAATAAAAATTTGTTTCTTGTTAAAAAAGACAAGAATCACAGATTAGTAATTAACTATGGTTTTATTTTGTCAGTGTGTCTTTTAAGGGCCACTTTTTTTATGAAATTCAAACCTATAACCCTTAGAAAACACATAGTATCGTCACCGTGGAGCAAACCTGGCGTAAACCTAACAAAAACAAAAATTATTGGCACCGTTTGACAGACTGCAAAATTTAAAATGGTTTTATGTTGGGTGTAAAGTTTGACGTTGATACACAAAATTTGGATTTTTGATTTGAATAAAATTAAAAAAATGTCTTGATTAGATAAATATTAAGAAGCATGAACTTTAATCAATAAAATCTTATTTAATAATTATTTGTTATATTAATTGACTTTAAACAAGAATAACGTGCACGCCACGACCACGTGATAACAACGGTTTACGTACTGTCAGCTCGCTGTTGACAAAATTTGGTTCCAAACCAGGGAAATTTTTGCGTTACCAACTGCATTTGCTCTACTCATGCAACAATGGATACTATGTATTTCTAGGAGCCCTATTCAAACCAATACCGTAAATTTTGGAGATGTTGTAGGTAAACAACCGCTTTCACTCACCGTTTGAGCTAGAAAATTTCACTAGAAAAATGGAAATTTACATAAATATAGAAGACTACGATGTGCAAAGACAGGTTGTGAAACTTTAGTAGCATACTACGCAGGGCAGTAATGACATCAGTCTCATCAGTCTACTGAATAACCTTCAGAGAAAAGTTTTAGCTCACAACCAAGTTGACGATATTACGATCATGTTATACCTTGAGATTTCGATTTATTTTGGAATTCATTTTTGGTTTGTTATAAAATTCAAACAAATGTTTTTGTGTACTTCTTTAGAGTGAACATATTTTTTCTCGTGCTGTTACATTAAAATTTGTATAAATTTCTACTACAACAGCGTCTTAAGATTGATCATGCCGAATATTTTTTTTATATTTTATTTTTCCTTATACATAATGGGGGAAATCAAAGATTATCACTCAAAATTTTGAAATGACTTTACTGTGGCAATACTTACATTTCCTTGTGAAAATTTTTTACATTAAAGAAAAAGTGCAATTTTTTTAGTATTAAGAATCGTAATTTGTACACAATTGTAATTTCTATGTATTATAAAAAAATAATATATTTCAAAACTTAAAAGGTTGATTACGTACTTCTAACAGTCCTTGTCGTGTCCTTGTATCTTTCAACTGATCTTCTGCATGTTGACGACAGCGCCATCTAGCATGTTCAACGTCCCGCTTAATCGTTTCCACACATGAAAAACTATTATGTATTCAAGTAATTTTTATACTTCTAGTCTATCAAAATCCCAAGTTAAATAATTGCAATTTAAAATCTGTAAAACTACTTAAAACGCCCCTGACATTTGGCTAGACATTTATAAATTGTTAAATACCAGTGCAGTAACGATAAATTTAAATTAATTTCCACGTTAATTAACTGTAATTTAGGATGCTAACTAATACCGCACGATGTACAACCGTAACCGCTCGTACCTGCTGCAGTATCAAAGAAAAATTTAGTAGCCTGGAGGTAACTTTTTACAGTAAATTTTCATCTCGTATGTAAAGTACATGGCCCCTTGCTCCCCCCTCATGTACGGCTCTGCGTCCTCGGGAGAATGACGTAGTACTCGGTTGAGCACACGGATGATCGGATGAATGGAACGAGATGAGTGATTCGATCGCCTCCGGGCGGCAGCACTGTTGTGAACCGGGCGCACGCTAGATTCTCACACCCGCACGCTTTCTCCGATCGTCTCTTTCCATCGTGACGTGACGGCCATTCGTGCCACCCCCGCCGCCACCGCCCACTGGCTCCGGCTGACCGGAAACGGAGCGTAGGGGGCTTTTTCCGGGTGATTCCGGATGATTCCGGACGACCAAAGCGCCGAAACGGCCGGTCCCATCGGTGAAAAGGTCAACTGCAAGACCGTTTTCATCTGTAGACAGAGGGCATATTTTAGGGGGTTGCACAAAGGTTTCAGTTACAATTTTAGCTAAAAGTCCTAATCATCACTGCAACTTATACTGGAAGTTACAAGTCATAATGATCATTGCAGCTTACACTGGGTCATGGTGCAGTGTTACTGAACTCTACAGAGTTATTAAAAATTTAACTATTTGTATTACTAGTAATGCTAATAAAGCTGTACATACAACTACAAGGAGCAAAATGAACAGTCATTGTGTGCCACATCATGCCCACAAAAGTAACATCAGAGAAAACTGGAATTTGTAAACATAGATAGTATTAGATAGGTATCAAAAGTTAATTACACTGACATTGCGAATATTTGATGTGTAATGTTGTCATAAGGATAATTTCAAATTTCTTTTGGCCACCAAATTTTTTTAAGTCAGTTAATACAACAAGACACGTATAAGTTTTAATATTGACAAATTATTTTTTTCTGATAATCGTTCATCTGCATTTTGAAGGATTAGCGTTCAGTAGGTACTCTTGGTGTGATT